AGAGAGGCCCAGGGCTGAATGGAGCATTGTGGGAAAAGACAGTGGGCACACTGGGCAGTAACACCGAGAACACTAACTCACAGATCATGCCAGAGAGTCTGAAAACACCCACACTGGGCGACAATGGCAAACTTCATCGCTCCAGTTGGCCCCGTCTGAATACACACATACAATGGCAGAATCCAAATAAGATGCTCTGTTATTCGTGAAATTCAGCACACTAAATTCCTTCAGTGCCTCTGTCCCTTTGACCAGCAGCAGATGGCCCGGGGCCGTGCCGCATTGATGTGCACGTACGTGTGCATGTGTGGTCTTGTTTCCTACTGTTGCATCATGTGTGAGAATGCTGTACATTTGAAATGTGGGGAATCAATATTTAAAGGTCTAACAGGTGTCATTTTTGTTGAGATCTACTGCTTTACTTCTAATAATGCAAAAAAGACCAGCAAATACGCTTGTATGTATGGGAAGGAGAAACACATTTCACTAAATCAGTCAATTAAATCAGGTCTAATTAAAGAAAGGGCAGACTAAATGGTACCAGAATCAACAGGTTTGTCCATCAATGGCTGGTTTTACTAGCAGCTCTCTGCTGCCACCCTGTGGAGCTTAGCAGCACTAAACCAAGATTGACGAAAAGAATGAAATGTAATTGGTGAGCAGCAAAAAACAAAGAGGAAACGATTAGTCGTTTAACAGATAATTGATATAGAGTACTTTTAGCATTGACACCCTTTTCACCCCGGTTACACTTTTCATTTGCCCTGTACGATGGGCGTTGTAAGCAGTGTTGAGAGTAACGCCGTTATTTTTGGCAGTACCTAGTACTCTAACGCATTACTTGTTTAATTCAGTAACTCAGTTACCGTTACTACATGGTGCGTTACTCCGTTAGTTTTTTTTATATAGTCAACAGCCAGGCGAACAGAGATGAATACTGTACTTATTGAGTAAATGTACTTAGATACTTCCTGTGTCACATGCGGAGACGCGCTGTGGGCATGTTTGTGTTGTTTACTAACAAGACTATCATGGCGGCGGCGGAGCTCAAGTCTAGTTTCTCCACCTGGAGATATTCTCACTATTTCACTTTTGTCGAGCACAAAGAAAAGAACGTTTTAGTTAAATGTAAGTTGTGTCTTGGCGGGTCAAAGATCCTATCTACTGCCCAAACCAGTAATTCAAATCTCTTAAAACATCTGCAATACAACATGCTGGGACGAAGCTAGTAGCTAAGACCACAGAGACTCAGCCGACGCCACTCCACCTCCACCTAAGCAACAGCGGCTGGATTTTAACCAAGGGACTGCTAGCCAGGGAAAAGTCGATAAAGCCATTGCACGGTATGTTGTAGAACACATGCAGGCTATTGCTACAGTGGAGTCATCCGCTTTCAGGGAGCTAGTTAGCATGATACCATGTCCGGGCGGCACACGGCATATGGGACGGAAAACTTTTTCCAACTACCTGGAGAAAGAATATACAAAAATGGAAAGCCAGCTAATATCGATGCAATCCAGATTGCATATAAGGCATGTCAAGTTGATCAACAGATTGTATTATTCTCCAATGCAATAACAGTACTGAAAGGAAGGCTATAAGGGCATTAACGGGAGCCATTTCTGGAAGTAACTAAAACTTTACTTTTCACAGTAACGCATTACTTTTGGGTGTAAGTAACTAGTAAAGTAACTGAGTTACTTTGGAAATGAAGTAACTAGTAATGGTAACTAGTTACTGGTTTTCAGTAACTAACACAACACTGGTTGTAAGTGATGAAAGTGGGGGATGTTGGCCTATCTGGTGCCCGCAGCTCACAGCCAAAGTGCGAGTGAGCGTGGGAGCGAGGTACCGGCGCTGTTGTTATTAGCATCTGGTGCTAACTGCGCTAACGGATATAAGAAGAAGATGTTTCTACAACAAAGGTGGAGGGGGAGCTCTCTCCTGACAGACTGAGAGACTGATAACTACAGCTCAGTGAGGTAAAGGACTCTCTCAGTGTTTAGATAGTTAACTTAGTCTAAGTCAGCGTTTCTCAAAATGTGGGGCATGCCACACTGGTGGGGCGCAGAGATGTGATAGGTGGGTCGTGAATGGACGTGATGAACGGGAGATTGTTATTATTATTATTATTTTTTAATACATTTAAAGGTCGGAATCGAACCTGGGTCCTCGCGGGCGGTAGTGGACTGTTACAGCCGGAGACTCGGCGGATGCGGTACCGGCGGATGCGGTACTGTGAAAGTCCATGGCCCACCTATGCCAGAGCCAGCGGCCCACCGAAGGCAGCGGCCCACCGACGGCAGCGGCCCACCGACGGCAGCGGTCCACAGGAAAAAGTCCAGAATCTCCCGATGGCCAATCCGAGCCTGTTCACACAAACACAACTGAAACCAAACTAATTTACAGACATATGTAAAAATCTCTCATACACACATGTGAAACGCTCTCACACACACAAAAGCGTTGCAGTCGGGAAGAAAAGCAATGTGGAGCGGCACTTCCTAAGGAGTTTAACCGTGACATTTTTTGAAATCCCGTTTGTGTCCCCCCACTTTACAAATATGTTTATTATTATTTTTTAACACAAGCCGTCATCGCCACGGAGGAGCACACAGCCTCTGTGAGCGAGCGAGAGAGAGAGAGGTAGAGAGAGCACATCATTATCTATTTAATATAGTGTGGTGCCACGTAATGGGACATAATTCACCTCTGGTTATTGTGTTGCAACACGGACCCGTTAGAGAGGGCACCGGAAGCTAGGTTCATTCATGCTAGCTTCACAACAAGATATAAGCTAATGTCTTAACCTGTCTGAATGTTCTTTGATAATAAAGTGTGGAGTTCCATACCGTACACGCCGCCTCCGACTCCCATTCATCGGCTCTACACTGGTGACCCTGACTTTTCCGAGAAGGTTTCCGGAAAATTAACGAACATGGCTGAGCGCGATGTTTTCGTAAAGCTGCCGGAGTTTTGGGAGAATGCCGCGGCGGCGTGGTTTGCACACGTGGAGGCGCACTTCGCCTGCCGGCAGGTCCGTGACAGGGACCTGAAGTACTACCACGTTGTAGCAGCGCTAGTGTTGCACGGTGTACCGATACTTGAAAGGTACCGCGATACCCTGCCGTTAAAAACGGTACGATTCCTCCGTTTCATTAGTATCGGTACTTTAAGAATGACGGGGAAAAGTACTCCGGTGAGAAAGCGCCGTTTTAATAAGAGCCGTGTGTGTTCAGCGCTCTGCTTCCACTCCCTGCACTGCAGCCGTGCCTGCAGTCCCGCCCCTCTCAAGCACGTTCTAAGTCCCTACCCTCTCTCGTGCACGCGGCCACGCTCTAGCTGCCAGAGCATGTGAGAAAACGAGAAGCATGGCTGCAAGTGGGAGTGCAACTGCCGCTGCGCCTCGGCTTGTTGACAAAAAAGATGCTAGAAGCGAAATTTGGAAGTATTTGAGCTATATCTCTGACAGTGAGGGCAAGCCTACGGACACCACGAGGCCTGTCTGTGAGAAATGTTTTAGATCTCTGCAAACCAAGGGAGCCAACACATCAGACGTGGCTAAGCACCCGCCGACCGGAATCCAGAGCTGTTTAAAGAATTTAAAGACAGACAGGTTAGCGAATGTGATAGATAACATAATTACATCATGCTCAAGCCCATGCCCTCAAATCTAAGTCAAACAAGTGTAATTTATTTTGTGACAAACGAACGTTTTCGTAGTTTGACGAGGGAATTAATGACAATGATAACTGTCTAATATGGCTATCTTTTTGCTAACTTACCAATGTGGCTAACATCTGCAATATACATTTAGTCAATCATTATTTATATTACTGTACTATTACATGTTAATAAAATATTAAAAAAATTATATTTTATAAAACAAAAAAGTTGTTTGAGATGATGCTTGATTATATTTAATACGAATTCTTGTCATTTATTTTGTTTATTGTTCTCATTGTTTAAAAGTTTGTGTTATGGTTATGGTTCTGGTGTGAAATAAAGCACAATAATTACATTTAAGACTGTTTCCCTTTTTTTTAGAAAAGAATCGGAATCGCAATTCTTGACTTGGTATCGGTATCGAAACCAAAATGTTGGTATCGTGACAACACTAAGCAGCGCTAGGAGGCTCCACGTCGTCCAGGTTGGTTGGTTTTATCACAGACCCCCCACACCATGGCAAATATGAGGCGATTAAGGCCCTCCTCCTTAAGACATTTAGCTTATCTGCTAAGGAGAGGGCCCGCCAGTTACTTGACATTCAAGGCCTAGGAGACAGCAAGCCATCTCAGCTAATGGAGAAAATGCTAAATCTGCTAGGGGGGGAAGATCCCCGGATTTTATTCACGGAGATTTTCCTGCGTCACTTGCCTCCCCGGGTCCAGACGGCGCTGGCCAACACGCCTGTCACGGAGCCCCGTGCCTTGGCTGAGGAAGCGGATAGTTTTTTCCTAACTACACAACAGCCCGGTGCAGAGACGTTAGCCGCGACGCTCAGCGGCCCATCTGCAGTCAAGACAGCATGGCGGAGGCCCGGACACGGCAGTTTCGAGCCGGCGTGGAGACACCGGAGAGTGCTTTTACCACGCACGTTTCGGGACGATGGCGAAGAAATGCATCGCTCCGTGCAGCTACAAACCCCCAGGAAACGGAGAGGCCGGCGCTCAGTAGTGGCCCTGAGCGTCGGCGGCACGTGCAGGCTCCTCTGCGGAGCGTAGTTCCCGCGTCGAGTGAAGACGTCACCCTGGGTGGGCACGGACCGCGATTGACGACGGCTAACGGCGGTCCCATTCGCACGTACGGCGTGAGGCCTATGTGTTTGTGCATCGGAGGACAGCGTTTCAGCTGGGATTTTGTGACAGCGGACATTTCTTTTCCCCTCCTCGGAGCGGAT